AATATAAACTTTGTAACAGTAAAATATTCAATCAAATGCCTTAATCATCTTAATTATTCATGTCAAAAAGTATTTCTGCTAACTAAACTCATTTTTGAAAATGTTTCTACAGATGAATTAGTATTTTGTAACTAAGTAGCTGGGTTAGGTTTTATAGAAACTAAATAAAATTAAGCATTGACTTAGATGTAATGGAAAATATTTTATTTTCATAAAATTTACAATGATCAGAAAGACAGGATTGTCCTCTTTAAGCAATTCTTTGTTTTACACACAAAGATTATGATTAAATTAATGGTTGCTGAAATAGCATCTTTTGAGAGGTGAGCACATCTCACACACACACACACACACACACACACACACACACTCACGCACAACATCCTTGCTGGGGATTCAATAGCTGCAACTACCTATCAAATGAGGGTCTCGATGCCACCTACACCTGTATTGCTTATTCACTCATTCAACGAATATCGAAAACTTACCATTTGCAAGTCAACTAGATGTCAAGTGTATGATAGTGAACATCATGCCCTAGTCACCTCATAAGTCTACCGGAAAATATAAAAAATTAAACAAATATTACACCCAAACGTGGTAGTATATGAATTCTGCTAAGACAGCTGGAACTATCACAGTGCTATTTCTTCTATGTCAGTATAAACACTGAAAGTATTCCTGCAAAATAGAAACGTTTGTAAATGTTTGTAAACATTTGTAAGTACAAATGCTTATTTGTAAAGGTAAACAAGGAGAGTCAGGGTCATGTCCAATACTGATACTTGTTTTTGTGACATGTTGTCGTGGGTTTAATTGTGTCCTCCAAAATTCACATTTTGAATTCCTAATCCCCAGTACCTAAGAAAGTGAACTTATTTGGAAATAGGGCCTTTGCAGATGTAATTAGTTAGGATGAGACCATACTAGAATAGGGCGGGCCCTTAATAGAGTATGATTGATGCCATTTAAAAAGGGCCAATTTGAACATAGGCACATGCACAGGGAGAATGCAACGTGAAGATGAAGTCAGAGATGGGAGCGATGCAGCAGAAGCCCAGGGATGCCGAAGATTGCCAGTGCACCACCAGGAACCAGGGAGAAGAACAGAACAGATACTCCCTTAGAGCCTCAGAAGGAAACAACCCTGCTGACACCTTGATTTCAGACTTCTTATCTCCAGAACTGTGAGACAATGTATTTCTGTTGTTTAAGCCACCCAGCTTGCAGTACTTTGTTACATAAGCCTAGCAAACTAACATACATGAGATGGGGCTTTACAGAACAGAGGCAGGTGCAATTGTGATAAGCAACACTTCTCTCTCTCTTTCTCTCTCTCTCTCTCTCTCTCACACACACACACACACACACGCACGCACGCACACGCACCTTACTAAGATATTTATAACTGACTGACAGTGCCTAATTATTCCCAAAGCCTTTCCAGCCATTAACTGGAAGAATAGCCCCCTCATTGTCTCCTACAATCCCCGAACCTTTTGTTTCATCTGTGCTATCAGAAAGCGCCTGCTAACACTATCTTAGCATTTAGACCAATTCTTAGCACTGTGATAAATAATCAGAAACCAAACTTTTGGTTTGGAAGAAATGTCCAAAGATCATTTTTCACCGGTTCTGACCTCAGGAATTCAAATAAGAAATGATAGCTCCCACTATTACTCTCTTTTGAATTAGTGAAGAATTTCAAATATGAAAGGGAAGGACATACTGAGCCACATGACTCTAAATAATATTGTATACAGTGTTATTAAAAATTATATACTTAGCCCTCTAAGCTGAAACAGAAAGAAATAGGAATATTAATAATTTTTATAAGAATTATAAAACACTTCCTGTAAAAATATGGTAAGAAGCTGATGAAAATGGCACTCAACTCTATACTCATGTGATCTATTGTTGCTTAAGAGCAAAGGACATAAGACTTGAAATAGAATGAAAATATTTTCTGTATTGGTGAGAAAAAAAAACTTGGCTTAAAATTTGTGCTATTGGTTTCACACACACATAGTATTAATATTTATGTTCATAAATTATTTGCCAGGTCTGCTTTAGGGAAAAACCCTCTGAGCCTTTTTGCAGAGCAGCAGTGACACCTACTGTTCAAATAAGCTTGAGATGTCAACCAGGACAGATCCTTTGGGTCCTGGATCCCTTCACCAATTCAGTGAAACTGACAGGTCTGTCTCCAGAAAACAAAACAAATCAAAAGTTTCCCATATAAATAAAAAATATGCTTGCAATATGCATAATTCATGAATCCCGGAACTAGATAATAGGGTCTCTTGAGCTCCATATCTATCTAAAATAATGTAAACTTTAAAGTGGATGACACAATTCTGTAAATTCAAGAGAGTGTTTTAAAAGGAGTAAAATCTGGTGTAATTTACCTCAATCATTACAATGTTTTTATGAGTCTGGGTTTATAAATTAAATGTTTCCAGAATGATTAAATATCTAACAAGTTAATAGGCCTAACTAGAGATTACATTGCCATAGATATATCTGTCTGGTTTACATTTATATAGTTCTAATGTCATTTAAAATCATGTTCTTCTCCATAGTTATCACTACCTATAGGTAAGTATGATATGATTTAGTTCCCCCAGTATATATTTTATAATTATGGTATTTCCTTGCAAGGTCTACCATCACTGGCCACTTTTATAGAAAACTAGTTCTTAGGCCAAACTCACATTCAAATTCAGAGATGATTGTATTTTCAAGTAAAAACATGACTTTAATGTTTTTAATGAATTTTTAAATGAGAGTGTTGATTCACTTGACTATGCTTTTAGTAGACTATTTTCCACTCTCAAAGTATATGCTGTATGCTTTGGGTACAGTATCAGTGAAGTCAAAGCGTGACCATTGAAATATTTGTCTGTTTGAGTTTGCACATGCCCAACACCACCAATTTTTCTTTTTACACAGAAAAACAATTGGGCGTGATTGATCACAGCCTGCAGATTTTACCTGGGTAGAGAATAAAATACCAATACTTGGTACCAGGATGTGCATATATAAACATCGCTAAAGTCTCCAGTTGTGTCTTTCTTCCACCAGCTTTGAAAAGCTGTGCTCTGGCATTGTTGAAGCCACAGACAACTATGAAACGGCCAAGAGTTATGCAGGTTTGAGAAATTAAAATTTACGTAGCAGAAAATAAATTCGCCGTAATCTGTTAAAATTATTTCGCATATATCTACATGTCAAAATTTCCCAAATTGAAACAACTATTCCGCAACATTCACTCAACAAGTGTTTACTGGACTGTTCAAGTAAAATAGCTTTTAGGCGTTAAGCCTACACGGGCGTCTAGTGCTTCGAGCCAGGATTGGAACCAGGCGACGTAAAGCGCGCAGGCGACCCCCAAAGAAAGAGATCAGGGCAGTGGAAGAGCCTTAGAACCCACGGGGTTTGTCTCCAGATCGTTAAGTTCTCTGAATAAAAAGCATTAAGTTTCCGGGGAACACAGCACAAACAACTAGGGACCCAAATGAAAACATTTACGTCTGAGAGTAAGGCAGAAAACATTTATTTTGAGACGTCTTCGGAGAGAGAAGTGAAGCCTTGCAGGCAGGCGCTTCCAGGAGTCTCCGCCCCCCAGCCCGAGACCCCGCCCCAGAAGCCGTCCCGAGGAGAAAGGCCCGCCTCTGGATCCCAGATTCGGGGGAGAACAACGCGCCTGCGCGGGGCTTTCATCACGTCCGGCGCCAGGCCTCCCGATTCCGGAAGGGGCCGCACAGTTGTGGCGGCAGGTTCTGCGCTGGTGCTTAGTATATTCTTCGCTGTTGGACGTGGGATACACAGCAGCATCATGGTCGAGGTATGGTGACCCTTGGGATCTCAAGAGTCGGTTGCCTCTGGACTGTTTTTGGTTTTGGCAGCGGGCGTGGGTGATCGAGAGTGCTTGGAGTCTGGGGAGAGGCTGCGAGAAGGAGCTGTTTGGCCGAGGCCGGGTGGTCTTTTCTTAAGGTTTTTGGGGGAGGGAGAAAGGGACCAGATGGAAACCCGAGGGGGAGGTTCCGTCGGGCGGGAAGCCTGGCATGATGCGTCTAGTCCTCTTTTGGCCCTTGGGAGCTGGGCACTGTCCTCGGAGGCGGGGCTTCTGTTGTTGTGCGACCACTGGCATCTGCCGCCCGCAGGGTAGTGCCAATGCTTCTGTGTCCTAAACGACTGGCAGTCTTCTCTATCTTGCGTTCAGTTCGTCCCTTATTTCAGCTCTACCCCCAGAAAACTTGACGTTCTTTACATCTTTCCCTAGCTTAAACAACCATTCTATTAGCAGGCCTTGTCCTATAAGAAGATAAGACCCAAATATTTTTTGATTCCATTCACTAATCTCCATATCCACTGCAATCTACCTTAATTCAGACTAACATTATCTTTTCATCGGGCCTGGTGCATTAGTTTCCAGCTGGTCACTTTGCTTCCATTTTTGTTCTCCTATAAGTTGTTCTGTTTAAAACATTAAACTGGTATGCTTTTCTTGCTTAGCACCTTTTACTGGCCCTGTGTTACTGGAACAAAAACATAGACTGTTGTAATGGTCTAAAAGTCTTTACCTAATCTGGACCTTGTCTACCCTTGTAACCTCATCTTGTACTACAAAGCACCCTGTCACCCAGCATACACAACTGTGCTACCCTCCTGGCATCATTTCAGTTACCGAACACCTTTGTACATGACATTTCCCTCTGCCTGGATTGTTCTTAATCTCTATTCTGTGCAAGGCTAGTTCCCTCTCTGCTTAAAGAGCACCTCAGAGAGATCTTTCACAGTTACATTTAGTTCTTTCATTCTCTGTCTCAGCCCTTTGCTTGTTGCCTTCATAATATTTATCAAAATGTGGAATTATTTTGCTTATTTTTATTTCTCTGCTTCCTCTTGAGCACAGGGACTGTGACTGCCTTTTCATCATTCTGTTGTTAGCTTCTAGCATAGAATTTGCCAGGCACATAGTACGATCTCAGCAAATACTTATTGAATAAATGACTAATCTCAGGCATCACTCCTTGCTCTACCTGGGGCCTTGGCCAAAGAGGAGCTTGCTCCTCTTCTCCGAACTTGACTTGTGTAGCTTGCTACAAGTAGCTGTGGTGAGTGGTATAAAGCTTTTTACATAAACATGTAAGGTATGTAACTAATTTGACTTTAATTTAGGGTACAATATATATATTTTGTAGCTAGATGTGTAACTATACTTTTTCTTTCTAGGAGGTACAGAAACATTCTGTGCACACACTTGTGTTCAGGTCATTAAAGAGGACCCATGACATGTTTGTAGCTGATAACGGAAAACCTGTGCCTTTGGATGAAGAGAGGTAGGTATAGTTTTTTTTCAATTGCTAAAATATTTAAAATTCTAATACTAGGGGAAGAGAGCAGGTAGAGGGAGACCTCTAAAGACTAGTTAGTAATGCTAACAGTCACAGGCTATCCATTCAGTGATAAATGGTGTTTTGGCATAATTTAAGCTGATTTAACTTTTTTTGGCCATATCTTTTACAGTAAAAATCCCATTAATTAAATGCATTTTACAAATACCCGATAATTAGGAGAATCCCTTTTATAATCAATCACTTTGTATGTGCTTTCAGCTTCCCGCTGCTCTCAGAGCCTTGCTGAGCTGAAATTGTACCTGGCCAGTACCTCTACTCCCATCTTTTCTCGTTAGTATGGTGAAGAGTTTTGAGTGGTGGCATAATTTTGCTTCTACATCTCCAGCTCCAGTCTGGGATTGCATTATGTGCAGTGTTCCTTCTTTGTCCTTTACCCTTCTTTTAAATCTACTTAATTCTTCAAATAAGCATTTATATTTAATTTATAAAACGGACTATTCTTAAAAGTAATATAAGTGCATTTCTTTTTAAAATACTGAACTAATTAAGTACTTTGATTTGTTCTCACTAATCTTTTTAGATACATCTAGTAAAGGTTGCTATAGAAGTTTTTACTGTATTTTTATATTTAGACATTTGAAGGAATGTGTATTGACTTTGAAGTTTTTTAAAAGATATATTGGTTTTCATATACTTTTAAATCTGTCGGACCCTTGATAATTCATCTTGAAAGGTTTTGTATTTATTAGGTAACAAACTAAAATATTACTTAGGTTTAATGAATACTATGGTGGATTGTGAGCAAATGAAAATAGATATGGTGTGGAAATGCACTTGGAAATTTTTGATTCTTTAAAATACTATTTAACTTTAAAATCTTACTGGAAACTTTTTCTACATGATTGGGCAAACTTAAGCTATTTAAGTACTTGTTTCTTGGCTATCTGTAAACATTTACATTGGAAAGTATTTAAGGATACATTCTTATGTTTATAATTTTTAAATAGTCACAAACGAAAAATGGCAATCAAGCTTCGTAATGAATATGGTCCTGTGTTGCATATGCCTACTTCGAAAGAAAATTTTAAAGAGAAGGGCCCTCAGAATGCAGCGGATTCATATGGTCATAAACAGTATCCTGCCAATCAAGGTGAGTATGGTGTTATCAGAAGTGTCAGGACTTACATGTGAATTTTAAAAATAGAAAAACTAATAAAATATGTTATTAGTGCCCCTCCTGGAAGGACTGTGATCATACAGTGAGTGTTTAATAGCTGTACCAGTGTTATAATGAAAGTCTTGATTTTCTCATGGAAGTAATGAGATTACATTGGTTGATGGCTTTTTTCTTGTAGGAAATACAATTGGTAGTATAATGAGGGTAAAAAGTATTAGGATTTGGAGAAGGTCACAGTGGAAGTTAAAGGAAAAATTTAGAGAATATTCCTAACCTTAGGGAGACCATCTGTCTTTCGTCAGTAAGATGAAACTAAGTACTGAAATTGTAATGAATTAAGAGAATCCAAGATTCCACAGGAAACCATTTGTTTGGAAGAAATAATCAGAATGTATTGTCAGTTTATAGGAAGGCCTCTTTACACACCAGGGCTATATAGCAAACGCATAAGCCTTCCTGGCCTCATATCAGCAAATAAACAAAGAAATAGCTGTGTACACAGTTTACAAAGATCAAAACAAAAATCATCAACTTTTTTTTCCTGAGGTTTGAATTTAGTTGGAAAAATTTGAGAAATCCAGTTGATAATATTATTTGATACATTAAAAAAGATGATACTTTCCTTAAGATAAATTCACCACTGATGAATTTTTTTCTTTCCTTTTCTCTATTTTTTTTTTTTTTTTTTTTAGGTCAAGACGTTGAATATTTGGTAACAGGTACACATCCGTATCCACCAGGACCTGGTTAGTGAGCTGTTGCTTATCAAAAATGTTGTATTGTTACATATATTTCCACTAATGAGCCAATAGTGAGATTCCTGTTGCCTGTAAAATACAGGATAAGCTCAGTAGCCAAGCATCCATACATAGCTTTTTAGATAATTACTACTAATACTCATATGCATTAATTCAGCAAATAATTCTTAAGTACCTATATTTTTCAAGCTCTGTGATAGGAATTCAAAAACAATAAGACTGCTCCAGGCCTAGACAAGTTTATTATCTGGTGGTTTAGGCAGACATGTAAATATCACTAAGCTTATAAAAATGATAAAATGTTAGTATAAAAGAGGATATGGTATAAACATGTCCTTTGAGTATGTAGAGTGATTGCCACATAGATGGAATGGCCAGTATAACAAAGTAGAGGACAAAAAGCTTAATGTACATAGAAAGTATAGGGAAATTGAGTGCTTGTTATTGTAGTACCTTAGATTCACTCTTGGAAAAATTGTTAATATTTGAGGAACTGCTTAATTTTTTTTTTTGAAGGTAATGTCCAAATGTAATAGACGTTTAACTTTACTGTCTTGGGCTACTTTAATGCCAGGTTGCTTATGATAAAATCAAATTTGAGTTATATGTTATTAACCAGTATTTATTGTAAACAAGTTAGAAACAAAGGTAAGCAAAACTTAATCAAAATTTGTATTATATCACCACCTGGAAATAATAGCCATTTTGGTATATGTTTTCCTCCAGTGTTTTATTTTAAATGAATGTAAATGAAAATAAAGATAGCTACTATAAGGAATTGATTTTTTGTTTTAATAGGGGTTGCTTTGACAGCAGATACTAAGATCCAGAGAATGCCAAGTGAATCAGCTGCACAGTCCTTAGCAGTGGCATTACCTTCTTCTCAGGCCAGGTATGAAATACTATGCTAATAATTACAAAGATTTTGGAAGCATATTTTACTGTTCACATTTTTCACATTTTTGTCATTTTTCAATTTGTTCTTTTTTTATTTCTTTTTTTTCTTTTTCCTAAAGAAACAGGTTCTCACTCTGTTGCCCAGGCTAGAGTGTAGTGGCTCTAGCCACTGTAACCTTGACCTCCTGGGCTCAAGTGATCCTCCTACCTCAGCCTCCCAAGTAGCTGGGACTACAGGCACACACCACACCTGGCTAATTTTTTAATGTTTTGTAGAGACGGGGTTCGCTGTGTTGCCCCATCTGGTCACGAACTCGTGGCCTCAAGCGATCCTCCCACCTTGGCCTCTCAAAGTGCTGTGATTATAGGTGTGAGCCACAGCACTTGGCCTAAATTTGTTTCTTTAACTATTACATGACATTTTCCTTTATCAGGAAAAATTTAAGATATAGGGTTGGTTTTATAGAATACATGATTGGAAGCATTAATTGATTTGAATGTAATATTTCTTTTGCCTCAGGGCTGATGCAAATCGTACTGCACCTGGTGGAAATGAATACCGACATCCTGGGACTCCTGACCGTTCACAGCCTGCAGCAGTGAATTCAGTAAGTTTCCCTGTGTCAAATAATGGGTTTCTAACTTTTGGAGCATGTTACTTTATTTCCCTTTATCCCAAAAGTCTTACTTAAATATTAAAGAAATAGACACTTCCTTGGAATTGTTAAGATAAATAGCAGCTTGAGCTAGTCATTATTATTCCATAGCCCTAATTTGTTAGTAAATTGACTTATTTTTTAGAATTTAAAATTCTGTTATTTTTGTGTCTACTTGTGCATAGTGTGTATTTTAATGAAGATAATGTGATGTTGGTATTTATTGCCCACTATTAAAAGTACAAGGAATGTTCTGAAACTTGGGTATGTGTTAAATATGAAAGTCTTTTTTTATTAAATGCTAACTTGGTTTATATAGTTACAATTGAGTGCTATTAGTGTTATAATATTCATGGGCTCTATAACTAGTTTTAAAAATCAGCATTTAGAAATACCTGAGTTTATCTCTAAGTAAACGGCAGCTGCTCTTGGTTTGGTGAAAGTAGTTGCCGAAAGAATAACTAAAATATGTAGTTTATTTTATTATGCTTCACTTGAAATAAGTGTGGGCTTTACTTCCTCAGTTTGTTATGCAGTTGATTTGGGTTTATGAAGTGAATGCATTTGTGATGCTCATACCCCATTTCTTCGTTTATCCTCCATTCAGAGCATATCTCTGGCCAGGCTCTCTGCCTTCTTAGGAGGATATAATTTAACCTTCTTGAGGGCAAGAACTTTATGGGTTTAAATTTTGGATGAATGAATGGATAGATGGTAACAATAAATGGTATATCAACTGGTATACCTTTTAAAATAGTATTTAAGGACTGTATTAGAAGATACAAAAGCTGTCAGTCTCTGCTACATTAAATCAATACTATTAAAATATGACAATGAAAGGCAGTGGTGTTAATATATTTAAAATGACTTGAATAGTAATAGGAGCTTACGTGGAGCATTTACTACTTTTAAAATCTTCATCATAACCCCATGAGATAGTCACTGTTCTTCCCAGTTTACAAATGAGGCATACATATAGGTTACATAATTTTTACCCAAGGTCAGTCAGCTAGTTTTGAACCCATATACAGTGATGTGTGCTCTTAAGTGTAATGTTCAACCTCTCTCAGGTTTTCATATTGCTTTTTAAAATTAACGTAAAAATTTTTTTTCATTATTGGAAAATGAGTCTAAGATAAGACTTAGAAAAAATGTTTGCTTTTCATTTAAGGAAAAACTTTCATAAGTCCCCTCTTTCAATTTCCATTTGTGAATTAATAACATGAAACCTTAGGTATGATATCTTTTAATAATAATATAATCTATTGCATGTCTAGATTGTCATGGAGGCTGGCAATACCAAGAACTCTGCACTGATGGCTAAAAAAGCCCCTACAATGCCAAAACCCCAGTGGCACCCACCATGGAAACTCTACAGGGTGAGCAAATCTGTATTTTATTGCATTATGTGAAACACGATTGCTTTCCACTTGGCTAGGGCTGAAGAATATAAGGAAGAAAAGAGTGAATATAAAATTGACAGAGGGATTTGAGGTAGGTTGAGAAGGGGCTTAGGCACTATCTTAAAAGATATTTTGGGAAGGAGACTTTCTTCAGTAAAAGCTATGTGCATTTTGTATAAAATATTGATAGAAGGCTGCAAAATGTGGAGAGCAGACAAAATAAATTTAGGAAAGTGTCTGAAGTATTTAATATGAATGAAGGTCAAGGGGAAAAACACCCTGTAAAGTTTCTTTGGAACTACCAATTATCTTTTCAACTATAATAAATTAAAATGATTCAAAATATATCAGACTTAAAATAAAATGTATATAGTAGTAAATGTACA